CTGTATAGTAAGTTCTTTTATTTGTTTAGCTATAATTATCAATTATAACTTTCTGATATCAAGAAATTTAAATACTGTAAACAGTAATCATGAATTTAAGAAATTTTAGATTCAGTATTTCCATATCAAATATGAGATTAAATGATATCTTTATCTTTATTTGTCTTAATAGTGAATTAAAGTTATAATCAATTCTGTTCTGCAAGTAAAAGCTAAAATGTTTAAAATTTAATAATAAAACTATTTTGTTTACTTTTTTATAGATAGCTCACATGACTAAAAGTGAACTGTACCTTCAAGACACTGCCTTTTTGGGCCCAGGTCTTTTATTTTTAGACCAGTACTTTAATAATTTTATAGACGAATATATTGTTCTATGGATAGCAATGGTAAGTTCTTTTCTGCTAATATTTTATTTTTAATAGATGTCAGATAACACTGTGCTTAAGAGTCTTTTCAGTGAAATATCAGGTAGTCTTACTACTATCGATAATTTATACCATAAATGTTTTTGTAAAATTACTTATTTAAAGCTGTGAATTGTTTTTTATTGAGTATAGAAACAGCCTACATATCTGAGATCTTGCTTCCAACAACCCAAATTTTTAAAAATACAACTGTTTACTTAACAATAACCATCTCTTTCTCCTCCCCCCAAAATAGTACAAAAATACCAGAAATGATTTTACTGGCCAAAGGACTATAGCATTTATTATTACCTTTTACTTAAGCTCATTAGAATTAATCAAAGCTTATGGCAAGTAACAGGTAAATTAGATGGAGTTCGTGTTAGCAAAGGCGAGCACTTATTGCATTAAAAACTGTCAGCTAATATTGAGGAAATGAAAACAGACAGTATTATTAAGTACCAGGTTGGGGACCATTTTTTGGTAAAAATAAGCAACCCTATAGATGGCCCTCGAGGATAGTGCTTTATAATCATGATGTCTCATCAAGCAAAGGTTAAATTTTCATTGATTACATTCTGCTTAAGAAAGTGATAGATAATATATATCAGTAGTTTCAAAATATTATTATCCAAAATGATTATATAGAATTATGGTATTTAAGAGAGAAGCTTTAGCCATCAAAGAAAAAGAAAATCATTGTTGATAATAATCACAAAAGTGGATAAAGGAATTATTTTATTTTATTGAGACAGCTTTATGGTAGATCTTTAATTTTGATGATTTCGGACAATTCTGCTATATTTTTCTCTACCTCTGGACCTCACTTGCCTTCACCAAATTTTTAATGATATATAAACACATATTGAAGTGTCCTGAAAGAAATCTGCAGTGAATCTTTTGATAATTTGAATCAACTCACCCTATTTGTTAGATTTATGCACTAAAAAACTATATCTGTTCTGTGTGGGTTACCACATCTGATGATCCTGTATACTAGGTTCTGGAGTAAATTAATAATTTCCATTTATGGTTCATTCAAAGGTTTTTCATTCTTCAAATGGCGGTGAGATCCTTGAAAGTTTTTCAGGCAGTATTCTAAATAGTATTTACAAATCAGAAGAATTTCCTTTAATTTGCTGTCCACTTTAAAAACTTTTGGAGCTTTAAAACACTATACATTTAAGAAATAGATGATTATCCAAAATATCTGAGAATTCAATGTAGGGTTTCTTTTAGTGAACTTAAATATTACCAAATGGACTTAACATAATTAAAATATCAGGTTAAAAACTCAAGTACCTATTTTGTAATGAGTGAGTTGGCCTGGTTTACATTGATGATTATGGTGAGGAAGTCAAATTCAAAACACTTGTGCCCTTTGGCATCCTTAGGGGAAAGGTGATTGCTTCAGAGAGAAAAAGGTCACATGGAGCTTTTCAAGTTAAAGATAGGGGGATTTACCTCTCATAGGTGAAATTCCCTCTCTTCCAACAGAGCTTCTGAAGGAAGCATCTGCCTCTAGTCTCTGGGAAAGTTTTTAAATAGTGTGCTTTCCTCAGTTTTTTATGCAACACAATTTTGTATATGCCTCCCCTTAACTATGGTATCTTTTCCAGACCTTTTTGTCTCCCTTTGTCAAACAAGGGACATCACTTTCATGGGCCTTTACTTTCTTACAGCTAGTCTTAAAGGAGTAAGGAGTAAGAAACGTTGTGATGGAATGATTTTGTTATAACTGATAGCCCCTTCTAGTAGAAATTTGTAGCTTAGTTGCACAGCATATAATTGAAAGAATGTGAAGACTTCCATTCTATTACTTTCCAGCTTTTGTAATTCAGTCGAGGACTTTTCCACTGTGCCTCAAATTCTATAACTCTGAAATATCTTGCATGTGTTCCAGAGGACTATTTGAGGTTCAGATATGAAGTATATGAAATATTCTAAAATGTATTTTTGTTGAATTTTCAGTTAAGTTTGAAATTGGGGAGGGGGGTAGGCAGAAAAATAGCTGCTGCTTCAAAAAAGATAGACCATAATCTATTTTATATTTTCTTTTTTGCTCTAAAGGTCATTTCTTCATTTGATATGATTATGTACTTTAGTGCTTTGTGCCTGCAAATTTCAAGACACCTTCATCTAAATATCTTCAAGATTCCATGTCATCAAGCACCTGAACAGGTTCACAAGCATATTGACTAATAACCCAAGGAAAAAAGGAGAAGCAGTTAGGGGAACCTAGGAGTGAAGGAAATCCCCTTTTGCAGGAGGCTAGTATACTATCAAATAAGGTTATATTTGAATATAAAACATTAAGTCTTGTAAATTCCATTATATCTATTTCAGTTGTGAAATCCTCATTGTGTATCAACATTTTTTACCACAGATAACCAGAGTAATACAAATCTATAAATTAGAAATAAGACTAAAGAAAGAAATTTAAATTTTCTAGGTACAAGAAAGTGAACCACTATAGTTCTAAATAGCAGTCTCTGTCTCAAATTCTTACACTCAGGATTTTCATTGCCAAATGATTACATAAAAATTCAGAAATTCAAGGATGGTAGCCATGTTGAGGATGATGCTACTTAGCTAAAAATTGGTGTGTTCACAATACTGTATAAATGCATGGATTATAATACTATATTTATTAATGATGTATGATTTTTTTATTAGTCATTTTCAAGAGGCATGTTAACCGCTATCATATATAATGAAATACATGCTTTAGTGTATCAACTAGAATTTAAAAGGGCTATTAGAATTTTCTATAATTTGTGTTATGTAAAAGCAATTTGTCTTATTATACAATTTTGTCTTATTATACAACACAATTATTAGTTCAGAAAAACAAATGAATCTTTATAGTGAAGGCACTTGTTTCTTGATATTCTGAGTTAAAATGTCATTGTCATAAAAAGATGGGCATTAAACATCTCATTCTATTAAAACAATACTTAAACTACAGTTGACTTAAAAAAATTAGTAATTTATGAAAACATGGCAAAAATATCTTCCCTTTAGATTACTAGCCCGTTACTACAACTATACATGTCATTTGAGGTAAAAAGGGGATAAAATAAGTACCAGTTACTCAACCACTGAATGCACTATATACTGATTCTTATCTTTTTACTCTCACTTCAAAGTATTTATAGTGTTCATTATGAATAATAGAACTATCACCAGCCTCTTTGGTGATCCAAATCCTGAGACTCCCTCCCCTCTTATTCTACTTTTAATTTTATCCCACAGTTCTGTAGACCATAAGCTATAGGATGAAATAAAAAAATAAAGGAGTAATGAACATGTACTATATCTTAAGCAAGAAAAAGACAATGAAAAAAGTGAAAGTTGATATCCTTAAAAAAAAAAAAAGTATATACTTACGTGAATTAAGGACACAGAAAACACTCTATGGTACTTATTTTGTCTCTGTAACACTTGGTAAACTCAAATAAGGACCTTCTTAGACATCTGAATAGTACCTAAGATTTATATTCCAAAATATACATTGGCTTACAAGGGAACTCCTCTACAAAATGTAAAAATTTAAGAAGCAAATTGTCCCCCTAATGTCAGGTAGACTGTTGTTAATCATGGACTAATTTCTTCCTATATAAGTTATCACAGAAAAAAGAGAATCCCCATGGATTTGTTTTTTAAAACTTTGAAAACCTTTTAAAAAGTAGGATAAGAGTGTGTTATGGGGTGGGGACGAATTAGAATTTAAAACATTGAAAAATAGGAGAAAATCACTTCTAATGGACATATGGGGGGGACAATATTTTTTGTTTTGAATGATTCAATGAAAGTAGTTTGAGCAAAAAAATAGTAAGTTTAACTGATACTTTAAAAATGGTGGAACAGTTTATTTATTAAATCAAGTATTTCATATATTTTGTTTTTAAAATACACATTTTAAAAGACAAGGTATATGAATTAACTGTTCAAATTTGGAAATGAAGGTAAAATCAAACTTCCATATATTTAATCAGTACTATAAGTATGTGCCATTTAATTTTGAACCAAGCTAAATTAAATGGCATTTTATTGTCTTTGTGGAAATGACATTCATAAATTTGTATTTTAAAACAGGTATTTATATTTTGTCCAATCACCTTAATGGTTTTTAGTGGTTTTATTCTACAAGACAAATTTAAGTTGCTTTTAATACATTTTATAAGTCAATAGATTTTTCTTTTGAAATCTTATCATTGGAATTGGCCGTGTAAGTTAATGACTTTATACAAAAGGATGTACATATAAAAATAATTTTTTTCTTTTTTTAAAAATATAATTTATTGATTTTTTACACAGAGGAAGGGAGAGAGAGAGAGAGCTAGAAACATCGATGAGAGAGAAACATCAACCAGCTGCCTCTTGCACACCCCCTACCGGGGATGTGCCCGCAACCAATGTACATGCCCTTGCCCGGAATCGAACCTGGGACCTTTCAGTCCATAGACCGATGCTTTACCACTGAGCCAAACTGACTATGGCTAATTTTTTTTCTTAAAGAGTAACAATGTAACCACCAATACTTGTGCTTTCTACTTTTTGGGACTGATACAGATACACTGAAGCCAAAACTTGAAATTAGATCATCTTTATTATTAAGTTAATTGACAAGTGTCATAAAAATTCACTATTACTATTAAAAGGCAGAAAGCTTATACATACAATTTAGGAATTGCTGCTACTCACATAACTATTTAGATTTTACTTGGAGGTTAACCAAAAGGAGGCTTGCACTTAAGCTAATGAGTAATGTACTGGGCCTCTAGTACAAAATAATCCTACCAGTCATTGAATAGGAAGTCTTAACAGTACTCAATATATATTAATTCAATGTAATATTTGAAAATACAATTTTTAAACCACTCTAAAAATGTGTTTGCCTCTTAGCTAATGTTATAATTGTATCACATTACTTAGGTTCAAGTTCTTCCTTCCAAGAGCCATCAGAGTAACATGGACTGAAGAGACTTTCGAACAATTGCCATCTCCTGCTGCTGCTGTTCATGAAAGGAGATATTAAACATTTGTTTAATTTTTAGATAAGTATTAACCAATTTCAACAAATAAAACATTTCAGTGCTTAAAACATATTCTTATTTTTCGGTTTTAATATAACTTACAGTATCCATCATAATTTGTTTTTGAAACATAGCCATTTCATTTTTAAGTTCATTTTGTGCATCAGTAACTAGAGTATCACTGTTCTTCTCCAACTCCTCCATACTCTAAAACACAAAAAGCTTGTTTAGTCATAAATCACCATTTTTAATCTCAGGTTCTAAACTTGTGCAATTAATTTTCAAAACTAGGAGCTTTTAAAAAAAAACTCAAGTAGTGTACATTATTTATTCTAAATAAAAATATTCTCTAATGCAATCAAAACTAGAATACTCACTAAAAGATTAAAAAGTGCCACACATGAATCAAATAGTATTAGAGGAGGTAACTACTATAGTATACTTTGCTTGAAACAGTAGTTTAATGAATTGTTAAAGTTTCAATATTGAACATACTTAAATAAATAAATAAATAAATAAAAAGACTGGAAATTATAAAGAAATGATTTATGAACTTTCTATTTTCAGTTGAACCAAGAACTCTCACTAGGTGCTTATATTATGTATAAATCTTATTCATAACATATATATTTTGGTAAAATTCCCAATTTACCATTTCCTATTTTGAATAATGTCCACAAAAACATTAGAATCTGAAAGTAGAATACATTTGCCACTTAAATAAAAATGAATTTAAAATGAAAAGTAGTTAAGAATTTTAAATGCATAAGCAAAATTTTTTCCCTTAAACTTAGAAAAAATTATATTCTACTTCCAACATAAATTGCTTTAAAAGAATATGTTATGTTACCAAATATAACAGACCTTTATGAATTGTTCATATAACTGTTTAATTGTTTTAAGTCTCTGGCTCTGACCAAGTCTAGATTGTTGAAAAATCTGTTGTTGCTGTCGAAATAAATTCTGAAAATGTAAAAGAAAAGAATCGTGATAATTTAAGTAAGCTTTTAAATGTAGCAAAAAAAAAAAAAAAAAAAAAAAAAGTTTAAAGCAAATAGTTTTAAAGTCATACTTTAAATATTTGTTTTAACAGCTATTATAACAAAATTAGAGAAAATCTGTATTCACCACGAATATCTATACTAATAAAAGGGTAGTATGCTAATTAGACCAGATGTCTTCTGGACAAAGCCACAGTGGCAGGGGCTGAGGCAGAGGCAGTTAGGGGCCATGAGGCTGGCAGGGGAGGGCAGTTACAGGCGATCAGGCTGTTAGGCAGAGGCAGTTGGGGCAATCAGGCTGGCAGGCAGGCAAGTGGTTAGAAGTCAGTGGTCCCAGATTGCAAGGGGGATGTCCAACTGCCAGACAGGGATTGAGCCTAAACGTGTAATAGGACATCCCTCAGATTGGAGAGGGTGCAGGCTGGGCTGAGGAACATCCGTGCATAAATTTCATGTACTGGGCCTCTAGTACAATATAATAATCCTAGTCATTGAATAGGAAATCTTAACAATACACAATATATCTTAATTCTTGGTGCTTTCAATATCAACACAGATAATCCTTCTGATAATGCTGGTCTTTCAGTTCCTTGGCCTACTTTCTATCCTACTTTAGTTATTCCTTTACATACTTATACCCTAGACCAGCGTTTTTCAACCGCTGTTCCGCGGCACACTATGTTGCCTGGTGTGCCGTAGGTGCAGACAAGACAAGAATTTTATAATTTTTCACTATTTTGTTTACTTAATATTTCATAATAAAGTAATTATAAAATACTTTCTTTGTGTTTATTTGATTCCTATTCAAGAGAATTACTTTATATATAGTCAATATAGGCACAGAGTTAAATTTTTTAACATTTTCTAATGGTGGTGTGCCTCGTGATTTTTTTCATGAAACAAGTGTGCCTTTGCCCAAAAAAGGTTGAAAAACACTGCCCTAGACTCTGTCATTACCAATAACTATAACCTCTTTATAGTATGAATAATAGCATACTACTCAGAATTCTTTTATATAAACTTATTATATATAAATTTTAATCCTCCTAGCAACTCTATGAGATAGGTACTCTTATTATTCCCCCTTTCATAAATGAGGAAACTGAGGGAAAAAAATAATTTTTCCACTAGTTCACAGTAGCATTTGGTCAAACCAGAATGTGATTCCAAACAGTATTTCTAGAATCCAGGCTCTAACCATTACTCATACTCTTTCTCCATATATCTCTTTGTTCAACCACTTCTCTTTACTGTTCTAGCTCACTCTTTGTAGTATTAAAGCTCAATAATATCTATCAAGACCTAGAATCTATTCATCTTACCTACTTTTCACTGTCCCTCTGTGTCTTCACATTTCTCTTTCCCAGTATAAATTCTGTGGTAAATCATTATAATTACTCCTTTCCCATCTATATCTTACTATCTCTTTTTATTCTGTCACCTTTGTTTGCCTGGAAAATACAACTGTAGCTATCCTGCCTACATTCTTGCAGATGGTCCTAGTTGAGGAAAGCTACTACACTAACAGGTCTCTTTAAATCATGATCACTAGTCTAAATTGGACCCTTAGTGCTGCTTAACAATTATATTTTCTTAGTTTGTTCACTGTCCCACTCTCAAGAAAATATACCTTCTGATTTGATCTCAAAAGGCAACATATTTTCCACCCTATGATGGCCTTAATTATTTCACTAAACAGAAGGAATCCAGAGTTTTCAGTCTCCTATCACCATATCTACATACCCATCTACATAGCTGTGCTCATATACTCTACCGTCTCTATTTTTTTTAATTTAAAAAAAAAAGAAAAAAAAATATATATATATATATTTTTTAAATTTATTTATTTATTTTTTACAGGGAGGAAGGGAGAGGGATAGAGAGTTAGAAACGTGGATGAGAGAGAAACATCAATCAGCTGCCTCCTGCACATCACCCTTTGGGGATGTGCCAGCAACCAAGGCACATGCCCTTAACCGGAATCAAACCTGGGACCCCTCAGTCCACAGGCCGATGCTCCACCCACTGAGACAAACTGGTTAAGGCTCTCCTATTTTTAAAGATGTACTATCCTTACTGAGGCTTTTTGACATGTCCCATCCATTCTCAAGAATTTAGCAACTGTCTCCCCTCTTTCCACTCTTTTTTTATTTTTCCCTGAAGATTATTTCTCTTAGCATACAAACATGCTAGTCTTTCATCATTTTTTAAAAAACAACATCAAAACCCCAATGCCCTGGCCAATGTAGTAAAGTGGTTAGTGCTGGCCCACACACCAAAGGGTTGAGGGATCAATTCCTGGTTAAGGGCACATTTCTGGTTGCAGGTTGGATCCCTGGCTCTGTTTGGGGCTCCTGCAGGTGGCAACCATTGAAATGTCTCTCCTTCCACTCTAAAAATCAAGGTCCTTTGGTGAGGATTAACAATGCAAGACAAACAACAAAAGAAACACAATACACTGTCTTTTCTACTCAGGCTACCACCCCTTCTCCCCACCCCCATTCTTATACTCATTCCAATTGGGTTTTTGCACTCACTATTCCACCAAAACCACTCTGTTCAAGACTGATCAGAACCATCCTTATCAACACCAATGACCTCACATCACCAAATCTATCTTATTTGGCCTATAAGCAGCATGTGAAAGTTAATCCTCTCTCCTTTAAAGGCTTTCTTCACTTTAAAATAGTTTCCTTTGTAGCTGTTAGGGTACTTATTCTCATCTTGAAATCTACAGGTCCAGTTCTTAGACTTCTCTTTTACATTTACAATCACTCCTTTGGTGATTTCATCCAATCTAATGCCTTAAATGCTGTCTCTATGTTGAGTTCCCAACTTTGTATGTTCAACCAACACCTCTTTCCTGAACTGGCCTCATACCAGTGACTTAACATCTCCCCTTGGTATGTTTCATATGCATCTTAATATTTCCAAAACTGAGGTGATCAACCAATCCTTAAAATTATTTGATATGAATAGCACCATAATTCTTAGATAATTTTACAAATAATGGAAGGAGGAAATAAAAAGATAATGTAGTTATATATGTGGAACTGACTTCCATCTCCCATAGAAATATCCAGGTAACACAAGAGTAAACTATATCTTGCCCTGGTTGGTTTGGTTCAGTGGATAAAGCATCAAGCCTCAGAATCCGGGTTGGATTCCAGTCAAGGGCCGGTACCTCGGTTGTAGGCTTGATCCCCATGCCCGTCATGTTGGAGGCAACCTATCAATGTGTGTGTCTCACATCTATGTTTCTCTATCTCTTCCCTCCCTTCCACTCTTTCTAAAAAATCAATAGGAAAATATCCTCAGGTAAGAATTAACAAACAAAAGCAGGGAGGCGGGGGGAAGAGTAAACCGTGTTTTGATCATAACTTATTCAATAATGGGAAAATTTCCCAAAGGGATCAGTAATGTTCCTCCAGAGGACTCTTCTGCCAGGGTTACTAAGAAAGACAGTCCACTGGAATTACTAAATTTGTTAAGTCTGGGATTCCAAGAAGCTATTTTGCTTACCACATTGAGAGAGCCAACTAAAAATTGGAGACAGAGCCAAGACTATACTACATGAGAAATTCTCCACCCCATCCACCTATGCCTGAAGTTAACCCCCTGGACTTTTTCTTTTATATATATATATATAAACCAATAGTCCTTTTGTACTTTGGCAAATTTGTGTCACTTGGAACTGAAAGAATCACAACCAATATAGGAAGCAAAGACCATCAGCTTTTATGATTTTGGTATGTGCCTATACTTCTCTAGTTTACCAATCACCAGGACCAAAGCATAATGCCAGCAATGGATAATGGAACCCGGCCAAATTCTATGGGTCTCCATTTCCACTTGACACTTAGTTAATAGATTAATTATAATTCTAAGCATGATACTAACAGCTAGTTTTTCTTCTTGTTCCTTGGCGTTCTGTATATCTATCTCCCACTGCTGAAACAAACTCAGAAACTGCTGAGAATATTCTTGACTAAGCTTCTGCCTGAAAACATAATAATGATATTGTCATATTTCATAACAGTATCAAAAAAAGATTCAAAACAAAAGTGACTTTACAACTTTGTACTATAATAAAAGAAGGAAATAAAAACACCTTAAAATTTCAGATATGAAACCAAGAAAGAAAATCAAGATTCCAGACATGTTTGTTCTAACCCTATAGCTCTTGAAAATTTAAAAAATTTTATTGTACAATATATATAAAGTTTCCAGAAAAACCCATTTTACTGCCAAGCAGTTTATTTTTCATTTATTCTACTGAATATGGGTCCTGATATGATAGATTCAATTAAGTTATTATTCTAGTATTTATCAGATAAGATTTCCAAATACACATCTTTCACTTAACTTGTGCTCATTTTGGTACAACAATGATTTTATACAAAAGAATAGTTACTTCAGCTTAAATATACAAATTATTTACAATATCAGATTGATCTTTTTCTACACTGTTAAATAGTTGACTTTCACAAGACTAACGGTTTAATAACATTTACTTTTTATTCACTTAGTATATTTTTATAACAAATACAAATTACCTTTAGACAAATAAACCTCAATTTTCATTTAAAAGGGGATTAAGGTAATCTTTATTGATTTCTAGGAAATATATTTCAAGTCTATGAAGGAGTGAAGTTATAGTACTAAAGGACTTAGAGAAAAATTAAGTCAAATATATTTTTTACTGGAGACCCCAATAAATATAATAGTATTTTTCATAATTACACTAATGAATACTTTGACATGATAAAAATGTGGCTGTGAAAGAACCAACAACCATACCTTTGTTCTTTTTGGATTTTCCAAATATGTTCAATTTTCTGGTTACTGGTTTTGAGAGAAATCTTCGTATACAATGCTAATCTTTTTTTCTTTGTATTAAGAGAATTTCTAATGTTAGCTATGTGGAAAATAAATATTCATTAAAATGTAATATTGAAAAAAATCACATATTTTGTTCCCAAATCCTATATAATAAAAACCTAATGTGCAAATTGACCTAATGGTGGAGCAACCTGTGGAACAACTGGCCACTATGATGTACACTGATCACCAGGGGGCAGATGCACAATGCAGGAGCTTCCCCCAGGGCACTCAAGGTGGGTGCCAGTGGGGGCCCACAGATTGGCCTTGATCGCTGGCTATGCCTAGGGACCCTACCCATGCACAAATTTTGTGTACCAGGCCTATAATATTGAAATAAAAATGAGTTTCAGAAAGACATTTAAAATTAAATTTTAAAATAAGCATAATATCCAAAAGCAAGGTTATTTGCTTTTTTCTGAGAAAACTTTTCATTATTAATATCCAAGTTCAGATTTTTAAAAAATTTATAGATGATTAAAAAGAGTTAATTAAAGGAAAGAAAGGAACTCAAGAGTAGGCTTTAATTTCTTTATGAGAAAACACAAAGGCTACATTTTTCTAAATTTATAAAATACCTGAAACCAACTGAAACAACACATTTAGATGAATTATCATTAGAACTCATTATAGGAAACACGCAAAACTATTTTTAAATTCAAAAAGGATAAAAATAGTTAAATAATAAGAAAATTATTATTTTATTATTTGTTAATCTTCAGATGAAGACATGCTTACAGAGAGAAACACCAATGTGAGAGAGAAACAACAACTGGTTGCCCTCCACAAGCTCCTCAACTGGGGATCAAACCCGTAATCCAGGTATGTGCCCTCAGCAGGAATCGAACCAGCAACCTCTTGGTGCATGGGAGGATGCTAAACCAATTCTAATCAGGCAAGACAAATACTTTTAAAAAAATACAGCTGGTGATCATTTAAATCATACTTTACTAACTCTGACCAAAACTAAGCATAGAAAAATCTTAATTTAAGAAAATATCTGGCCCAGCTAGCATGGCTCAGTGGTTGAGCATCAACTTATGAATCAGGATGTTACAATTAAATTCCCGGGCAGTACATTTGCTCAGGCTGTGGGCTCGAGCCCCAATGTGGGGCATCCAGAAGGCAGCTGATTGATGATTCTCTTTAATCACTGATGTTTCTCTCTCTCCTCCCTTCCTCTCTAAAATCAATAAAAATATATCTTTTAAAAAAAAAGAAAAAGAAAATATCTAGATAATTTAAGAACCTTTTGAATACTTTCATGGAGCTATTTATACTACATTTTTATTCATAAGAACTGTATTTAAAAAATGCTAAATATGTTTTTATTGCTTTAGAAGAAAGGAGAAGAGAAACATTGATGTGAGAAAGAAAAATTGATCAGTTGCCTCCCATACATACCCTGACCAGGGACTGAACCTGAAACCTGGATGTGCCATGACCTGGAATTGAACTGGCCCCTTTTGGTGTACAGGACAACACTCATACTGGTCAGAACTCAAAAATTTTTTTAATAAATGCTTTGCTAAACATGCATATGGATCTACCTTCAAGTTATTACTTTTCAGTAATCATGATGGAGCTACATTATTATAAAAATACTAGTGTCTCAGTGCACAAAATTTGTGCAGGAGGTGGAGGGGTGGAGTGTCCCTCAGCTTGGCCAGTACCCTCTCCAATCTGGGACATTGCTCTCACAATTCAGGACCGCTGGCTCCTAACCGCTCACCTACCAGCCTGCCTGATCACCCCTAACAACTCTGCCTGCTGGCCTGCTCACCTCCAACTCCCCCCCCCTCCAACCAGCCTGCTTGCCCCCAATGGCCCCCTCCCCTGATGGCCTGCTCGACCCCACCTGCCTACCCGCCCCCACCTGCCCCCTGCCAACCTGCTCGTCCCCAATTGCCCCCCCTTGCCAGCCTGTCTGCCCCCAAACTGCTGCCCCCACTGGCCTGCTAGCCCCCAATTGCCCTCCCCTCCTGGCCTGACCACCCCTAACCACCTCTACCTCGGCCCCACCACCATGGTTTTGTCATATCACCCTTTTATTAGCATATCACCCTTTTATTAATACAGATTTTATATATCCAATATTCATCAACAATAAGTATATGTAATTATTGTACAAAACAAGCATTTTGCCACCACCAGAGCAAAGCTTTCAAAAAAAGTCTCAATTATATGAATAAACCATATAGAGAAGACAAATATTAACTTTTTTTGAGTACTATGTCCCCAAACAGTTAAGGTAATTGATATTTGACATAAACTTTAACTGGTTAAAGTTTATGAACTTTTTATCTGATTATATATTTCTTAGTAGCTAGGCAAGACTATTTTTACTTCTCAACTATATACCGTATTTTTCGGACCATAAGACGCACTTTTTTTCCCCCAGAAGTGGGGGGAAAAAGTCCCTGCCTCTTATGGTCCAAATATAGCCTACACATATACTTTAAAAAAAACGTTTTTTTACTTGCCCGGCTCTGTAGTCTCTGTGTGCTTGCCCGGCTCTAAAATGGTTCTGAATGCTGCTGTTTACTTTACAGGGTTGATTACATGTGTTTATGACTGTGATGTTGGGTTCTAATGTACATAAAATATTTTAGGACACTATTTGTTTCAGAATCTTTTTTTCTTCATTTCCCTTCTCTAAAAACTGGTGCGTCTTATGGTCCGGTGCGTCTTATGGTCCGAAAAATACGGTAGTTTAATGATGTAAAAATAACAATAGAGTTACTTCAAAGGCTTCAGTTTACACTCCCCTGTTAAAGAAAAGAACTAAGGAATGTTATAGAAAATAAATTGAGTAAATGGAAACTGACATACATACAGATATGTGTGTGTTTGTAGTGTGTGGAAGAGTCTGCAAAAGTCCTAAGAGAGGCAAAGACTTTTCCCATCCATTTTTGTCCTAAAATTCCAATCCATTAAATTTGCACAAGTATAAAATAAAAGCACCATTCTAATATTCATCATTGTTAGTAACTTTTGCACTCTTCACATCAACAACTGGAAAAGATTAAGTAAGGAAAACTATGAAGCTGAATCACACAATATATTTATGCAAAGTCACTTAGATGAGAGCAAAGCATTAAGTGGCAATCTTGAGCCTGGCTGGTATTGCTCAGTGGTTAAGTGGCAACCTCTGAACTAGGATATCACAGTTCAATTCCCCAGTCAGGGCACATGTCCGGGTTATGGGCTCGTTCCCCAGTAGGGGGTGTGCAGGAGGCAGCCCCATAATGATTCTCATCATTGGTGTTTCTATCTCTCTTTCTTCCTCTCTGAAATCAATAAAAATGTATTTAAAAAAATAAATAATAGTCTTTTAAACAATGAATATTATACAAGTTATTTGGTTTAAAACAATTTTTAATACAAATATTCTAAAACATACCTCCAAATCTTTCCAGCATATCCTGTACTTCACCTCTGTGAAGAAATTACATTTAAATATTTTAAATTAAGGATCCATAAAATATCATACTAGTTTTGGAAGAAATATCACATCCCCAGTATTTTACATATAATACTAATTGGACAACCAAAATCTACTTTTCTTAAAGTACTAACAGGCAAAACGTATGTTGAGCACATTACCCCATATCTTCAACTGTTACTGCAGAAGTTCTTTTCTTCCCAAGTTTATCAATTGCTGTAGTCTTTGCTGCATTGACAATAAAAAATAAAAATATTTTTGAAATTAAGTATGCTATTTGGATAATTTTTAATGAAGTAATTTTGAGATCTTTTAGGCTTTTTGCTAACATGAGTTTTTGGTTTTTTTCCTAACATGAATTTTTAAAGTCAATATAGAAATGCAATACTTTCTCTGTAAATCAGGTGGAGTTAAATCAAGATCCAGGACCTTTTTTTTTTTCATTCTTATCCGAGGATATGATTATTGATATGAGAGAGGAAGGGAGAGAGAAAGAAGGAGAAAAAAAGAGAAAGAAGGAGAAAAAAAGAGAGGGCGAAGAGAAAGAAATGTGAGAAAGAAACAGATCTATTGCCTTCTGTACTTGCTTGGACTGGGGATCAAACCCATAACCTGGGTATGTGCCATGACCAGAAATAAAGCCTGCCACCTTCAGGTCTATGGGAGGACGCTCCCACCAACTGAGCCACACCGGCCAGGGCTCCAAGACCATTTTAAAGGAACAATTTTGCAAGTTTTCCTGTGTTAATGTCATAGCAAAGCCATGCACTATTTAATCGACATTTTGGGAATAACGACTGCAAAGGCAACATCTGCTATATAAGCTACTCTAACTCCAAATGAGAAACATTAAGTACATTAAACTGCTTGAGAAAGTCTTATTAAAATGAAATAGGTTCAAAATAAATGAACTGTAGGGCATGGTGGCTCCACGATATGAGATATACTATACCATCAGTAGCATCTTCCTCTGAACCATTCAGATCTCGTTTATCTTCTTTCTGAAAGTCATAGGCAATTACAGCCCGATCCTTCATGGATGTCTTCCTATCCTCCACTGATGTCTTCCCTGATTTCTTGGTTTGTTTGCTTCCATGGGGTACCATATTTTTAACTTTTAAAAAACAAACATCTTAAACCTTCTGAATCCAAGGAAACCATTTAAATAAGCTGGTAAATTTCAAAATTAGAAATATCAAATAAAGATTATCTTAGTTGAGTAACATTTAGGAATCCCCTCGTTTAGTTTGACGGACCGAAAGTGAACAATGAGAGTACCTGATCTCTGCCCCAGAGGAGGCAACCAATCGATGTGTCCCCTCTCACACCGATGTTTCTCTCCCACTTCCTTCCACTCTCTAAAAAAAATAACAATAAAAACAAATCAATGGAAAAACATCCTCTAATGAGAATGAACAAACAACAAAAAGAGAGCATCAACCCTGCTTCCAGGGGTGCTGCTATGGCGAGTTCACACCGGGAGGGTGGGAGGTCAGATTTTAGTCTGGCCTCTGCCAGACTCTGGCTAAACAGTGGGCAAACGTAGCTTTCCCATTTCAGTCCCAAAGTGAAAACGCGGTTGGCAGGAGGACCATGAGCGTGCCCATCAGACCCAGCGCAGCCCCTTTCTGCCCACCCCACCCCGCGGCCTGGCTCCCTTCCACGCGGCCCGGCCCCCCTCAGCCCTCAGCCCAGGCCGCCCCCTCGACCCCTCCGTCCCTCAGCCCCTCGGTCCCGCCCTGACCCCTCCGTCCGTCAGCTCCGCCCTGACCCCTCCGTCCCTCAGCCCCTCGGCCCCGCCCTGACCCCTCCGTCCCTCGGTCCCTACGTCCCTCAGCCCCGCCCTGACCCTCGGCCCCTCAGCCCCCGCCTGACCCCTCAGTCCCTTAGTCCTGGCCTGACCCCTCTGTCCCTCGGCCCTGGCCGCCCCCTCGGCCCCTCAGCCCCCTGCTGACCCCTCGTCCCTCAGCCCCGCCCTGACCCCTCGGCCCCTCAGCCCCTTCGGTCCCTCAGTCCTGTCTGTCCCCTCGGTTCGGTTCCTCAGCCCCTCAGCCCCCTGATGACCCCTCGTCCCTCAGCCCCCGCCTGACCCCTCATCCCTCAGCCCCCGCCTGACCCCTCCGTCCCTCAACCCTGCCCTGACCCCTCGGCCCCTCAGCCCTGCCCTGACCCCTCGGCCCCTCAGCCCTGGCCTGACCCCTCAGCCCCCGCCGCCCCCTCGGTCCCTCAGCCCTGTCTGTCCCCTCGGTCCGGTCCTTCAGCCCCTCAGCCCCCTGCTGACCCCTCGGAGCCTCAGTCCCGGCTGCCCCCTCGGTCCGGCTGCCCCGTGGCCAGTCCAGGCCCTGCTCTCATTGACTGACAAAGGCCCAGGTGGAGCCAATGAGAAGGGTTTACCTGACGGAGCAAGAGTAACCTCTGATGGACTCCCGCCCGGTACCAACCCCTGCCTCCTCACCTGAGAAAAGAGCCTGGCTGCTGAGGACCGCAGCCCGGCTCTCCCACGGGTACCCCGGGCGCGCCAGCCTCCTCCCCGGGCAGCCGCTTCGCTACCGCCACGCTCCTCGCTCCTCCGAAGCAGCTTGGAATCCGGCACCTGGGAGAACAGGCCGCCTCGCAGCGCCTCACCAGGAACGGCGCTGATTGGCTGGTCGCAGTGCACGCATGCGTGCCCTGGGCTGCTGGGCTCCGCCCCCCTGCGCGAGGGACCATGAGGCTGCTGCTGACCCAGAGCACCTTGCGCCTGGGGCCTGTGGCTAATATATGTTTGAAGCCTGTTGCTTTCCGGTTTCTTTTTCTTTTTTAATAACTGTTAAAATTTTATGATATTTGAAAGTTATAAAACCATATATAAGTTATGAAATATGGTGAACACATACCTAATTTGTGAAGTAAAATTTTACCAGAACCTAATGAAATCTCCCCAGGAAATTCTTGCCAACACATCCCCCCGTTTTCCAGTCAGAGATAGTTTCAATTATCCTGGATTTTGTGTAAGTATTTGCCACTCTCTACCATTTCCTAAGTTTTGTTACCACATATATGTGTCCTTAAACAATCCTGTTTAGTTTAGTTTAGTTTAGTTTAGTTTAGTTTAGGCAGTACAGAAAATTGAGCCATATTCTATGTAGTATTCTGCCACTCACTTTTTTTGGTTAACATTATGTTTCAGAAAATCTTTATTATTACATATAGCTATGGTTCTTTCATATTCACGGCTGTATAATGTTCCATTGTGACTCTATTCAAAATTTATTCACGGATGAAAGGTCAGTTGAGATGATCATGAAATTTCTCTTTTCCTTGGTCATGTGAATTGCATTGATTCTCCAAGTGCTGGGCCAACCTTGAATTCCTGGAGTGGACTCACCTTAATCATAGAATTGTTCCTTTGGGGAATGACTGAATTTGGCTTGCTAGTGCTTTGTTTTAGATTCATAAGGTAGATGGCCTGTGGTTTTCCTTTCTTGTGGTAACTGAGCCAGGTTTTGGTGTGGGATTGTACTGACCTCAAGGAATAAGTGTGTTTTCCTTCTTTTTTTTTACACTCTACAGGAATTTTTGTGGGGTTGATGCTGTTTCTCTCTTAAATGTTTTTATCTGAATTGTGCTTAGTCTTTCCTTTAAATCCTTGATTTGCCAGTCACTTATTTGTATACTTCGTGGTATGTGTAGAAATAATCTTAATGAAAACACTTTTGAAAAATTAAGTAGGCAATGTAATCATTTTATCCTGACTACATTAAAAACCTCACCTCTGCCCTGGGTAACAATCCTTCACACAAATTTCCACCTCTACCATCATCATCCCTGACATTAACTAGTCATTGTGCTGGGTATATTACATATGCCATTTCCTTTAGACATCAGTGTTGCCTCCCATGTTTTAAAAGAGAAAACGGAATCAGAGCAAACAATGTCCAGGATCCAGGACTCAAGCCCCAGAAGTCTGACTAAAGAGATGGGTGTTTTACCTGCTTCTGACATTATGTCATGGGGATTCAACATGGCCTGGAGGGGATGGGGAAAAAGAGACAGACAACCTGGGCACCAGTCCACCTTTGCCTCTAACTGGCTGTCAGACCTTGGGCAAGTCATGTGATCTTCATGACCCTAGCAGCTTCATGATAAGATGCAGGGCATGGGAGTTTGGAGGCACCATTGTGGGGTTAAGCAACATGAGCAGCTTTCCTTCTTCTGTATTACATACTGAATGTCATTTGAACTAAAATTATTCCGAGGCTTTAAGAATTTGAAACCACTTGATTACTCATCAACTTTTAAAGTTCCTCTGTCCTTAGAGACTCTACATAATCATTAGATGAATAATTCTATGAATATTCTATGATCAATCCCATTATCTATTAAACTTCTAATTAGATATGAATATATTTACCAAACCACAGACATCTCCACCATACCCAAAAAAATCATTTCTCTACCTTTCTAAAATAAATCCTTCATTTTTAAAATTATCTCCAGCATGGCTGGTATGGCTCAGTGGTTGAGCATTGACCCACCCACCAAGAAGTCACAGGTTCAATTCCCAGTCAGGGCACATGCCCATGTTGCAGGCTTAGTACCCAACTGGGGGCATGCAGGAGTCAGCTAATCGATGTTGGTGTTTCTCATCAATGTTTCTATCTCTCCTTCTCCCTCCCTCTCTCTCTAAAATCAATTTAAAAAATATTAAAATAATCTCCAGATAGCCCCTACATTTTTACTATATGATAAATCCCATTTAGAACTTATTTCCCTCCTACAAAATGAGATTCTCCAATATGTTATAATACTATCGTGGCCTTACATTCCTTTCCACTTATTTTCACATACCAATACACTACTGTCTAAGCATTCAAGTGACTACTGAATCTTGATAAAATACACTCATTCCTCAAAGATTTAAAAAACAAAGCATCAGACAAAATATAAATTGTTATGAGACTTCAATTTTTGAAATACATAATTTACAGCACAAACAAAATATTTACATCACAAGTTCTTTTTACAAAACGTGTGTCATTTTGAAAGAATACTGTTGAGATCCTGATCTAAATAACTGCCAGAGTTAAAAAAGAATCGTGGTATCTGGTCTCCAGAAATCCACTGCATAATGATATAAATAAAATATGGCTGACTGTCAGAACTTACCCAGACATAAAAATACAATACTAATTCTTTACCACAATGGTCAGCAAACAATGGTCTGTGGGGCAAATCCAGCCAGTGGTCTGGTTTTGTACAGTTGTATGCTAAACATGGTTTTGACATGTTTACAGTTTAACAAAGAAGAAAATGCAACTGAGACAGATATGACCTGAAATACTTACTATGTGGCTTTTTACAAAAAAGGTTTGCTGATCCCTGCATTTTATAAAATCAATTGGGATATACTGATGGGTATTAAAAAAGACAATACTGTAAGGTCAGTACCATCAGCAGTACTCATTTCTAAAATGAATCACTTCTGTTCAAATATGTACATTTCCAAAACATAATTACATCTGAAAAGTAGCTCTGCTACTTAAGTCTAGCCCTTTACAATTAGATCTCCACATGAAATCACAGTATTCTTAGGAGAGAGAGAAAACAAGGACAAAGTTTCTAGAGGTCAATCATTGAGCTTGTCAGTAGTTGTAAGTCATTTAAGATCACTTACTAGTCTTAAACATTAATAAAATAATTTAGATATTGCCAACAGAAGGTGATACTATTGCATTACTTAAATAACATTGATTAAAAACATGTTTAGACATCCCAATTCATTATTTTCAGAAGCAAGAATTACTAGCTAACTTAATAGCTACTTAATTTTAAAAATGAGAAATGAAAAAGGAAACACCAAAAATGTAGAACCTGCCCTAACCGGTTTGGCTCAGTGGATAGAGCATTGGCCTGCAGACTGAAGGATCCCAGGTTCGATTCCGGTCAAGGGCATGTACCTTAGTTGCGGGCACATCCCCAGTTGGGGGTGTACAAGAGGCAGCTGGTCGATGTTTCTCTCTCATCGATATTTCTGGCTCTCTATCTCTCTCCCTTCCTCTCTGTTAAAAATCAATAAAATATATCTTTAAATTACAAAAAAAAAAAGTAGAACCCCAGCAAAAGGCTTTGGAATGCAAAAGCTAGGGTCTCTCCCAATCTCCCAGCAATCCCAAGCTGCCATAGGCTTCTCATGTTCACGTTAGTTGACAGTGGTTGCCGTGGGAACTTGGCAACCATCTCTTGTCAGTGACCCGTTTTATTAAAAGAATGACAGGTCCATGAGCAAATGCTTTAAAAGTAAAACCAGTTCAGAATTGCT